TCTTCTTTGTCGAAGTTTCATTCATCACATCATATTTTAGATCTTGGGTAAGGCAAGACCTAATCACACTACACGCCGTTCTATTTATTTTATTCCAAACCTTTTCATCAACGTCGGTCGGTTTCCCGTCCAACTCCAAAGTATCTTCCAAATTTTGCGCATTTAGCTCATCCATGACTTCGCATCGCCAAAGTCCAAAATTATTTGTGCCGTTGAACTTTTCCACATCTATTTTCATAGAATGTATATTCAAACTTTGGACGGCCTTCACACTAGAAGAACCCTCCTCACTTTTATCTTTTCCGGCCATAATCTCAAAGCACCCAAATAAACAATTACGGAACAAATAGGAAATAGATCCAACTTGAAAAAGATAGAAACTTTACCACAAAGATTCCACCTTTATCACCAATCGAAGCTCTATAAGAACTTCCCAACTGATTTACACCTCCAAAAAAAAGCCCAAGCGTTGCCCGGAGCTCTGATACCACTTGTTGTGCCTCGAGAAACCAAACCAATAGCCAAGAAAAAGATAAACCTGTATGTTGAAAAAATTACAATAAAGAGAATAAAAGAAAATTGACTTGTATTTCTTTGATTCTGGTTACAATTTGATTACAAAAAAGAAGAGAATGAATTTGGTTCTCTCCTTTGTTTAAAACTGGGTTCTTCAAGGTAGCGATGGAGTGCCTCCCTCGAATGCTCGCGTCGAGTTTGCTCTCCGTTGACGATCCGACCGTCTTGATTCACTGGAACGATGTCTTCTCCTCACGATTTGACGTTGTGGAGAACTTGCGTGGCAAGTTTAAAACTCTTGATGAGTTGATAACTCTGATCGAGTTTGAAACTCTTGAAAAAGAGTTGATTTGAACCGAGAATCGGTTCTCAAGCCAAGGCCGAAGGCTTTAAGGAATGCTCCAAAGGATGAATGCCGATCTCTCCCTTTGCTGTCAAGTCCCAGATCCGAAAATGCCAGCTGAAAAAAGCCTTGAACTCCGGACCAAAGAAGTCAACCCTGAACTCAGTTAAGTTTACTCGCTTTTATAGGGGATTAAGGGGGTGTAACCGCCCCTTAAATCACTCCTAAGTGGGGTGTAACCGCCCAAAAATCATGGGAACCAGTTTTGGAACCGTTCAGCTCATGTTTCAACGAGTCAAACGCTCACGTTGGCGTTCAGGACCCTAACTCCGTATTTTAGACTGGAGACGCGGAGTTGGGTACCCGCTGGGCATTGAAAAACATGGGTCTGACCCCAGCGTTTTAATATTGTAACGCGGGTCCGACTCCAGCGTTTTGATGTTGTAACGCGGGTCCGACTCCATTGTTTTGATGTTGTAATGTGGGTTCGACCCCAGCATTTTGATGTTGTAACGTGGGTTCGACCCCAGCGTTTTGATGTTGTAACGTGGGTTCGACCCTCGCGTTTTACTGTTGACACACGGGGAGGACCTCCGTGTTTTGGTGTTGATACACGGGGAGGACCTCCGTGTTTTGGTCTTAGAGCGCGGTGATGAGTTCCGCGTCTTGCTTTGGAGAGATTATCAACAAGTAATCTCTTTTGTCATAGCGTTGCAAAGATCATTGTCTTGTAATCTTCGTCTTGGCTCCTTGAGAATATGAGAGTCGTCAGATTGTAACTCCCGATGTTGATTGTGAATGTTGTTGAACTAGAGCTCTCATCGGTTGTCGTGAAGATCGTCAGATTATAACCTTCAGCGATCTACGTGAAAGTCTTCAAATTGTAGCCTTCTGGAAGTCGTCAGATTGTAACTTCCATCATCGGTGTTTGATAGGGGATAAGCTATCTATTGTGATTTTTAGACAGCCTACAAAACCACAACCAAAATCAATAGCACAAATAATCAAACACCAGTTTTACGTGGTTCGGCAAGATGCCTACGTCCACGGGACAAGGAAGGGGGAATTTTCACTATTAGAAATCAAGAGGAACAAACTAGGGTTATAATCTCTCACCAAAACTCTCAACAAATCACTCTTGATCTCTCCCAATTGCTCCAACAATAGAAGCCCAAGAACTCACCCTCAATGGCTGCTAAAACCCCTTGCTTACAAACCCTAAAACCAAGTTTGGGTATTTATAGAAGACCCAAATGAAACGGGTCTGAAAACAGACCCAGCCCAAAACCGCTTTGGCGGTCGACCGGCACGGTCGACCGCGATCCATCGCGGTCGACCGGGTCGGTCGACCGCCCTCCATCCAGCAGCAAGACCGCCACTGATCCAAACGCCCAGTAGCTTTTGTGCACGAATACGGTCGACCGCACCAGTCGACCGCCAACCTGTCTGCTGCTCAGTAAGCCTGTTCCTGCCATTTCTACAACGCCCTCCTCATTGTATCTCTCACCTCTCACATCTTTATCCATTATCCTTGAATTAGGAAAATGATTAACAAAATCCTAAAAGGAAAAAAACTAACAGGCTTTTAAAGGTGAAGTCAGCCTTGCATCATAATCAGCACCCAATCCCGAAAACTTTGAAATGTACACGTGGTAATCAAATTAGATGACGACAACGTCTCACTCAAAGTTTACCACTATTAATAAGAAAGTCAAATTTCTCAAATTCAAATCCAAAACTGAGGATGGCAAGGGGATTCTATATGCATATTATGTGGTATACATCTTGAAACTTGTGATCACTTATTTTTTGAATGCAGTCTCACCAAATCAGTGTGGAAACATTTCTGTGACTTCTATCTTCCTTTCACGTGGCCAACATCTTTATACGAACTGATCATGTCTGTTGAATCTCTACGTAATACTGATGGAGTTTTATGGCGAACGATTTTCACTGCAGTATGTTGGAGTTTATGGACATCAAGAAATAAATTTCTTTTTGAAAGCACTTTGTTCTTTGCTACATCTATCATCAACTCAGCGATTTCTATTTTATATGAATGGTCAGGTTCTGGAAGAGGGAAGATGGCTCTTAAGCTAGCAGCGGTTTTCGAAGAGAGACCACTCTTGCGGAGCAACAGTGTTTAGCTTATAATATCAGTTTACTTTCAGTACTCTTGCGGAGCAACAGTGTTTAGCTTATAATATCAGTTTACTTTCAGTAGTTTCTGATGTCTTTTGTGCATACCAATTAACTTTTTGGTGTTTTGTTGTTAGTTCAATTAGTCTATAGAAAACTTAATTTCTCTTGTCCAAATGTATGGCTAGCTTTGGTTCTTACTTATATCTATGTCAACGGTGAATGACGGCAATGCCCTCTCTTCACCTTCATAGATGTTTGTAAGAAGAATGTCCTACATCCCTAGCAAGAGAAACTATTTTTTCTATCTACTAATCTTTATGGATACAGTTCGTATCCTTCTTTTGTAAACATACTTTTGATTTTTAATGAACAGGGAATATCCCTTGTTTTTCTCTCAAAAAGGAAAAAATCCAAAACTGAGAATATCCGCACCCTTTAATTCCAAGATGTTCAAATACTCTCATACGGATCAAACGCCATATAGGAACCCGACCCAGTAGCTGAGCATCATTCCATGTGGCACTTCAAACCCATGAGTCGCAAGCTCTGATTCAAGTGTTTACTATTTTTTGTCAGATTAAATTGATTGAGATATTGACTACTATAACTGGCATTAATCTGTTGTTCTATAC